GATTGAAGTAATGTGTCCACATGCAAAGGAATGTCAAATACACTGGCTGCCACCAGACAACCCCCCACCAAAAAAAACCAATGACAACACAAAGGAAGGAGGAGGGAAAGAAGAAGGAAGGAAGGGAGAGAGGAAGGGAGGGAAAAAAGAAAAGAAAGGTTCCCTGAAAGTTCTATGGGGAATAGGTCCTGCCTGTGCAGACCCAAAACCCTAAAAGGAAACATCTAGGGGGCAGAGGAGTGCTGGTCCTGGGGCTTGAACTCAGTGCCTGGACACTGTCCATTAGCTGTTTGTTCAATTATAGCACTTTATCACTTGAGCCATACCTCCACTTCTGGCTTTTTGCTGGTTAATTGAGCATAAGAGTCTAATAGACTTTCCTGCTCGGGCTGGCTTTGAACCACAAGCCTCAACCTCCTAAGTAGTTAGGATTACAGGTGTGAGCCAACAGTACCTGGCTATATCTGCTATTTTAAGCTATCTACTTGGTGGCATTTGTTATGGCAATTCTAGTAAACTAATACAGGCAGGTAACTCAGAAGAAAATATGATACAGGCAATTAAATATGCTTGGTGAAGATCTGGAAATGAATTACATGAAAGAAAGGGAACGGTAAGAGAGCTAAGGTATTCAAGATGCAGAACTGAGCAGCAAAGCTCACCTCTCACATCTCACCCCAGAGTCCAATGCCTGGATATCATCCCTGACTTGGAGGAGGGAAAGGAACACACACAGGGATGCAATAACTAAAGCAATGTAAGCTGTGGGTCTCCACTCCACAATCCTCCTCCTTCAGCCTCCTGAGTGCTGCGATTACAAGTGTGTGTTATGATTATTGTTGCCCACCACCAGGCCTAGCTGAAAGCTAGGTTTCTGAATGCCGATGTAAAGTGCCAGACCTATGTCAGATACACACCATATGGTATTTAATCTCTACAACCATGCAAGTACTGTTTACCGTGTTTTGCTGATTAAGACACTAGAGATAAAAAGGAAAAAAAAAATGACTGTGTATGTTTATAGAGCCAGATTGGGGAGGCGCTAGTTTTACAGTACAATCTGTCTTTCCTACCCTGTAACCCTTGACATACACATTTTCTTTTCCTTAGACAGTCAAAAACATGGAGGAACACACTGGGAAAGCCACTTAGCAGAACCTCTGAAACAGAGTGCTCCAGGAAATCTGGTGAAACACTTTTTAGGATCACCTTGCACATGTGCACGCACACACACACACACTCACACACATGCAAGTACTGGGACTTGAACTCAAGGCTCTGTGCTCTCACTTGGTTTTTTGCTCAAGGCTAGTAGATCACTTGAGCCACACCTCCACTTCTAGCTTGTTGCTGAGTAATTAGACATGAGGCTCTGATTTGTCTGTCTTATCACCTTGTATGGTGATCCTCAGATCTCAGACTCCCAAGTCACTGGGATTACAAGTGTGAGCCATAGCACCAAGCCAGGAATGAGCATTTTGTGCAAGATAGGCAAGTTCTCTAATGAACAACACCCCCAGCCCAGTGCATGCCATGAATTTTAAAAAGCTTACTACAGAGTATCAATACTGAGTGTAGCTAAATAGTAGAATGCTCACCTAGCATGCATGAGGTCCTCAGTTCAATTCCCAGCATTACACAAAAAGGGGGAGAAAGCCGCTACACTCAATACGTAGAACTAATTCATAAACCAGGAGCTCACACCTGTAATCCTAGCTACTCGAGAAGCTAAGATCTGACTCTTATCTCCAGTTAACCAGAAAAAAAGCTGGAATGACTCAAGTGGTAGAGTGCTAGCTTTTAAGGAAAAAAAAAAATAGAACTCAAGGACAGCGCCTAGGTCCTGAGTTCAAACCCCAGAACCAGCATAAAAACTAAACTAAACTAAAATTCAGAGCAAGGCACAGTGGCCAAGGCCTATGCTCTGAGCCACTCAGGGAGAATAAAAGAACCAGAATTTTAAGACAATCTGGGAAACACATGAGATCCCATGTTTAAATAAAGAAATAAAAAAATGGGAAATAGCATCAGATGCTAGAGCCTGTAATCTAAGTTACTCAGAAGGTTGAGATATGAGTATCATGGTTCAAAGCCAGTCTGGGCAGGAAAATCCATGAGATTCTTATTTCTAATTAACCAACCAAAAGCCAGAAGTGGAGTTGTGTCTCAAGTGGTAGAGTGCTAGTCTTGAACACAAGAGTGGACAGTGCCCAGTCCTGAGTTCAAGTCCTAATATTGGAACACATACACACACACACACACACACACACACACACACACACACACACACAGCAATAAAAACATTTAATTCTCCTGATTTAATCATCATATCATATATATGTATCAAATTAAGATATTGTACACCATATATTTGTATGGATATTCCATGTGGGTATTTTGAAAAGTTGACAAGCTGGTAAAACAGGGTGAGCTCAAGTCCACTAGCTGGGTTCCACAGTGAATCCCTGCCTGGAAAAACAAACAAAAACTTGGCCAAGTGGCTGTTGTTCAGTTATGTGGTGTGTGATTCTACTTTACTTTTCTAGGCTTTCCTTTGACTCTTAGGCCTAAATGATCTTTTCATCTCAGCCTCCTGAGCACTGGGTCTAAAACAGTGTGCAGCTATGCCCAGCTCCCCTTTGTTGCTAGTAAGGTAAGCTTCTTTGCTGACATTTCACTAGGGACAATGCATTCCAGAAATGAGGCACTGAAAAACTGTGTGCATATTACCATTTCTTTAAGGTTACATTTTTAGAATTTTTGTTGTTGTTGTTATTTTTTATTTTTATTTATTTATTTTTGCCTGTCCTGCCTGGGATTTGAACTCTGGGCCTGGGCACTGTCCCTGAGCTTTGTTTTGCTCAAGGCTAGCACTCTACCACTTGAGCCACAGTGCCACTTCTGGCTTTTTCTGTTTATGTGGTACTAAGGAATCAAACCCAGGGCTTCATGCATACTAGGCAAGCACTCTATTTAACTAAGCCACACTCCCAGTCCCTGTTATTATTTTTTATTGTTGTTAATTTGTTTGTTTGTTTGTTTTTTGAGAGAGAGAATCAACTCACTATGTGGACCAGGCTGGCCTCTGGCTCAAAGTGCTGGGGTTACAGGCATGTGCTACCACACTATGACTGACTTAGAGGTGCTTTGTTGTTTTTAGTATGATGGAGTTCTCCAGCCTGTCAAAGATCAAGGACTTATTCAGAAATGCTACTGTAAAAAGAGAATCTTTGTGAATAATAATGAGCATAAATATTTCAGCGCAAGTGAAAAGTGTTTTTTAAAAGACCGAGTCAGAAAATGACTCAATTGTTAAAATGCTCTTTTTTAAACTCATTTAGACTTAATATCTGATTTCTTGATTTTATATTTCTGTAAGAAATCCTCTTATTATACTACAGGAACTTTTCCTAAAAATAAAGGCTACCTGTTACCTGCAGGGTGAAGCTAAAGCCCAAGTCCACAGGTCCAAGCCAGGTCCTTCCTAATCATGGACAGATAGGTCTGACCTTATCTCCCACTTCTGAGCCCATGACCTGTACAAGTTATGTTAAAACCAGCTCCCTCTGCTGGCTCAACTCTGTAATCCTAGCTACTCAAGAGTCTGAGATCTAAGGATCATGGTTCAAAGTCAGCTCAGGCACACAAAATCTGTTTAGATTTTTTAATCTCCAATTAACATAAAAAGAGCCACCAGTAGAGAGCCAATCTTGAGCCAAAAGATTAAGTGAGAGTGCAAGGCCCTGAGTTCAAGACCCAGTACTACACCAAAAGGGAAAAAAAAGGGAAAGAAAAAAGTGAGTAATCCACAGTAAAGCTGTCTGGGTATTGGGCAGCATGTGAAAGAAATACTGTTCTCGTAGTACTGACCGTTATTAGCTGCTTCAAGTCACGAGATGCTTGAAGTGCCACAATAAAAGTAAGTATAGTAATCATCTCTCTCTATATATTTTTTTTTGTGCCAGGCTAGGTGCTATCCCTGAGCTGTTTCACTCAAGGCTAGCACTCTACCACTTAAGCCACAATCAACTCCTGGCTTTTTGCTAGTTAATTGGAGATTAAGAGTCTCACGGATTTTCCTGCTCAGGCTGGCTCTAAACTATGCTATGATCCTCAGATCTCAGCTTCCAGAATAGCTAGGATTACAGTGTGAACCACTGGCTCCTAACAATATAAAAAAATCTCTTTGAATCATCATCTTTCATAGGTTGATAGGTACTGAACTGCATGCTTCTAATTCATTCCTAGGAAACAAAACAAATCTCACATATGTTATAGTCTTTTAACAAAGAATTTCATTTATAAGAACTCGATTGGAAAAGATGTAGGTAAGAATTTAAAATATAAAGAAAAGTGATACATATATTAATAATTGTGTCAAAAATGAAAAAAAAAACTGGAACCTCTAGCTCCCACCCCAGAATCCAGCACACAGACATTAGTCCATAAATGCAATGAAAGGTACAGTAAATACCATATAAGGAATTTCATACATTGGATGCAATTGCTAAAGCAATTACTGTGTGTGTGTGTGTGTGTGTGTGTGTGTGTGCGCGCGCTGTTGTTGTTGTACTGGGACTTTAACTGAGGGACTGGGCGCTGTCCTGTAGCTTTTTCGTTCAAGGTTGGTATTCTACCACTTGAGCCACACCTCCACTTCTAATTTTTTTTTAATCTTTTTGCTGTTTAGTGGAGATAAAAGTCTCACAGACTTTCTTGCCCAGGTTGGCTCTGAATGGTAATCTTCAACATCTCATCTTTCAGAGTAGCTGGCATTATAGGCATAAGCCACCAACACCCAGCTCCAGATTACTCCAGAACTCAGTAAAGGGCAAATTTGACAGCTCCTATCTCTGCTAGCAAGTGTGTGACATGATTCGTTGGCATCCAATGATGGTCGGTGTAGCACAGAGGTCCCTAGGGGGTGGGGGGGGAAGACCATCCTGGACATGCATCACTGTACAGCAGGGCTACAACAGGAGCTCCACCCAAATCCTTACCTCTTCCTTCTGCTCCTCTGAATCCGGCTGAGAGTGACTGCCACCACCTACACCTCTACCCTCATCAGCATTCTGGGTGGGCACCCAGTCTGGGGAGAACCCAGGTGCTGGCTGCATCTGTTCAGGATCTTCTGTCCGGTCTTCACCATCCTCTGAACTCAGGGATAGCACAGTGGGGCTGGTAGGGCACTTGGAACTTCCTGCCCCAGGGCTCTGAGGACTCTGGGGCTTGGGTGTAATTGGTGGCAGTGGGGTGAGAAGATGCTTAGGGTTACTGGCATCATCAGAAGAGACTTTGGTCCACCCTTGTTGGTCATTGGGACTGGCTGATGCGTTACAGGCTTGGGGCCTGGTGCTTCCTGATTGGTGGGCGAGCTCAGCTTTTAGAGGGACTACAGCGGTATCGACATCAATAGCAGCAGGGCCCTGGGAAGCGGCTGGGCTACGACTGGGGGTGCTGGACCTCCGGTCCTGCTCAGAGCTGCTGGACACACGTCTGGAGTAGTCATCATGCAATCGGCTCTGCGTTTGTAGCCGAAGGCCTGCCTCCCCCCGAGCCAGAGGCCCAGTCTTGGGAACCTCTCTCTTCCACGAGGCATCTTTGACGTTGCTCACTAGCTTCAGGACTCGATCGAAGTCCTTGGCTCTGATGGGGCTCTTCCAGCGTTTGGTCCTTCTCTCTGCCCCGCCAGCCTTCTCTGAGTCTGCAGAGGAGCTGCTTAGAGTCCTTTGGGGCGGGAGCTTGCTGTCACCGGTCACCCGGAGATCAGCGAGATTGGAGGTGGACTTCCGTTTGAAGGAACTTTTCTTCAGAAAGTTTAAACTGTCTGTGCTTTTGCTCCTTCTGTACAAGCTGCTTTGGCTGTCAGGGTCCCTCACCAGGATCTCACACAGGGTGGGCTCTTGGCTGGAGAGGGACAGGGGTTTGACGGAGCCCTGGGGGATAAGGGGCTTGTCAGAGTCCAGCAGGCTGATGCGGCCCAGGCCGTAGGCCCTGCGGATACTGCGAGATCGGTGTGTGCTTCTCTGGAATGCATCCTCATCCTCTGGGTCTGAGCAGTCAGACACAGCCCCCTCCCCTACACTGGGTGGGTCACCTGCCTGTCTCCCAGTAGGCCCCCTGTTCATATGACTTCCCACGATGGTACCATTAGGGATGGCACTGCTCACATCCTGTTCCCAAACTTCCTCTTTGGAAGAATCTGTCCCCTCACGGTTCTGAATTCCTTGCAGGACAGATGACTTCAGTTTTTTAAAAGATCCCATCTTCCTGAAAGATGCCAGTGCATTCCACGTGGAAGAATTGCCCATCAGGACCACAGAGCGGGGCCTCTCGGGGTGGGCACTCATTCTCTTCCGGTTTACAGAGAAAAGACGCACCAGCTTGGAAGAAGGGTTGAGCCTGGTGTCTGGACCTTCGGGATCACTGTCCTGGCTGTTTCTGTACCCTCCATTCTGACATACTGGGGAAGTCACCATCTTGAGGTCCTTGGGGTCAGAGGCTGCACAAGTGGCAGCAGGACCTTGCCCATGGCCATCCTGGGCTGTGGTCATGTTCTTCAGGCTGGGCACCTGTGGCCACAGGGCAGCCTGGCTCAGACGGCCCTGTACATTCGTGTTTGGGAATGGCAGATCCACATCTTCACTTCCAAGGACTCTGGTCCAACCCTCACACCTGCTCTGCACATTCGGATCCCTGGACTCAGTCACCACCTGCAACAGAAAAAAATAAAAAATGCAGACATTTAGCCACTGCTCCTGCAGAGGAGCCTCTACAATCAGAAGCTAATTGTTTTGCTTATCAATTAGAAACAGGAAACATACAAAGGGCAACTTCCCTACAGGGTCGATCTAATAAATACTACTTTAAAATGGAAACCTTTAGAGCTTTGTTCGTTTTTCTTTTTTATGTTTTTGATAATTCACCTCATAATAAGTTGAGGAATGTAAGTCTATGCTCAAAAAAAAAATTAACTAGGTGCTGGTGGCTCATGCCTGTAATCCTAACTACTCAGGAAGCTGAATAACCACCAAAAAGCTAAAAGTAGAACTATCTTGAGTGGCAGAGCACCAGCTTTGAGCACAAAAGCTCAGAGACAGTGCTCAGGCCCTGCATTCAACATAATAGACAAATTAGCTGAAACCTGTTTTAAGTTAAAGCTTTGGGGAGGGGGGAAGGAAACTGTTGGAATGATGATGTCAAGGTATTATGGAAGATTGTGTCTTCTTTCCAGGCATGGTGATGCACACCTGTAATCCCAGAATTTGGGAGGGTGAGATAGGAGGATTGAGAGTTGGAGGCCAGCTTGGACTACATAATGAGATTCTATCTGAATTTTTGAAAAGAAAAAAAAAAACCCTGTCTTCTCTTTCTTTGAACTGCAAGAAATCTTTTATTATCAAATACCAAAATCCATTTACAACTACTTCAAAATGTACCCAAGCAAAGGCACTGGTAGCCACTCAGGAGTCTGATATCTGAGGATCACAATTTAAAGCCAGTTAGGGGAGAAATCCAGGAGACTTGTATATCCAATTAACCAGCAAAAATCCAGACATGGGAAGCTTAAGTGGTACAGCACTAGCCTTAAGCAGTAAATGCAAGCAATAATGTGAGGCCTTGGGTTTAAGGCCCAGTACTGGTGCACACACATGTATCAGAAACTTTAAACAGCAAGGAGACAAGCACAGCTGGGATTCGCATCCCAAGCATCTGACATCATCTCTAGCACCCCATAATCCTGGCAAACCAAATTCCAGCTTTCATCAGATGCCTGTCCAGGCCATTACCTTCAGCCAATAGTCAATGCAAGATAGGAAGAGGAAAATGCAGAAAGATCTTGATGTTAGGCCTCTATTTACTCTACCCTTCTTGAGTGTAGAATTTAGCTTTGTACAAAGAGAACTATGTCTCACCTCCTCTACATCCCAATTTCTTCTCTGTCTCTCTCTGTCTGTCTTTCTCTCTCTCTCTGTGTCTCAGTCTCTGTCTGGTGTCTTTCTCTCTGTCTGTCTTTCTCTCTCTCTCCTGCTGGCCCTGGGGCTTGAACTCAGGGCCTAGATGCTGATTCTGAGCTATTTTTGCTCAACTAGTGCTCTACCACTTGAGCCATAGCTCCACTTCTGGTGTCTTTGGGGTAGTTTTGTGGAAGATAAGAGTTTCATGTCTCCTCCTTTTCAGGCTGGCTTTGAACCACAATCCTCAGATCTCTGCTTCCTGAGTAGCTAGGATTACAGGTATGAGTCACAGCACCATATCTAAGCAAAGTCTTGAATCACTTCCCCACTGAAACCAGATGTAAAATGTAACCAGTTCCAAAATAATTCTGCCTTCACCAACTCTGAAAAGTGTCGTTATTTTTGTGTCTCAGAATCCTGAAGTGAACCAGAGCGTTTAAATATTTAAATCCACTGTGCAGGAAACAATTGACTGAATAGTAATTAGTAATGATAGTCCCCTGACTTGCTTGGATTGGATATGCAAGAAAGGGCAGAATTCCTGCTTTGTTGCTGGATTGGACAAGTATAGATATCACCACTAGAGGGCACTATGACACATTCTATAACCCAACAAGCACTTGATTTAAATCATGTTGGATATTTTGTGAATGTTTTGTAGAAGACATGGGGCCAGGTGCTAGTGGCTCATACCTATAATCCTAGCTACTCAAGAGGCTTAGATTGAGGATGGAGGTTTTAAGCCAGGCCAGGCAAGAAAGTCCAAGAAACTCTTATCTTCAATTAACCAACAAAAAGCTGGAAGTACGGGCTGGGAAGGTAGCTCAATGATAGAGTGCTTGCCTTGCATACATGAGGCCCTGGGTTCGATTCCTCAGCCCCACATAAGCAGAAAAAGCCAGAAGTGACGCTGTGGCTCAAGTACTAGAGCACTAGCTTTGAGCTGAAGAGCTGAGGGACAGTGCCCATGCCCAGAGTTCAGGCCCCACAACCAATCAAAAAAAAAAAAAAAAAAAAAAAAAGCTGCTAGTAGACAGGATACCTGTAATACTAGCTACTCAGGAAGGTGACATCCAGCTTGAAGGTAGCCTGGGCAGAAAAGTTCATGAGTCTCATCTCCAATAAACTACAAAAACAATAACCTGGAAGTGGAGCTTTGGCTCAAGTGGTAGAGTGCTAATATTGAGCAAAAACAAAACTCAGGGACAGCACCCAGGCCCTGAGTTCAAGCTCCAGGCCGAAAGTAGAGGTATAGCTCAAGTGTTAGTGCCAACCTCAGGCTTAAAGCACAATCCCAGGCCCTGAATTCAAGTCCCAGTACAGAGGAAGGAAGGAAGGAAAGAAGGAAGGAAGGAAGAAAGGAAGGAAGGAAGGAAGGAAGGAAGGAAGGAAGGAAGGAAGGAAGGAAGGAAGGAAGGAAGGAAGGAAGGGAGAAAGAGAGGGGGGAGGGAGGGAGGAAACCAAGGGCTTATGCCCAAATGCTAAACTTAGTAATAAGTCCCATTACAGTAATCTGCACCATCTATAAAATAAGTACCTGGACTATAAAATAAGTACCAGGACTTAAGTTCAAATCCTAGTTCTGCCCAAATGAGGGATGTGTTTACAAGTGGTAGATCACCTATCTGCCTAGTAAGTGCAAAGCCCTGAGTTCAAACTCCACTACCACTAAGAGGTACTAATAGTTATATCTTGTATCAACCAACTAATCAATTTATGAGTCTCTGTTGGGCACCAGGATCACAGCATTGATTTCAAGACAAAAAATGCTCAAAGAACATCCAGGAACACAGGATACAAGTGGGAGGCAGTGGGCTGGGAGCTAAGGAATTGCCCAAGATATGGGAACACTGAAGGCTAAAACTGGGGCTGTCCTCAACAAACTCGACACTGGAAGTAGAACAATAGAGATGGAAGATGTAATAAAGTACAATTAAGTGAAATAAAGGTGTAATAAAGTGAAAATTTAGGAGAAAGTGGGTTTAAAAGTCTGTATCAATAAAAGAGCACGTGCATTAAAGACAATTGTCCAAGCAGGGCACTGGTGGCTCATATCTGTAATCCTAGCTACTCAGGAGGCTGAGATCTGAGCACTGCAATTAAAAGCCAGCCATGGGAAGTGGCACAGTGGTTAAAAGTGGTAGAGTGCTAGCCTTGAGCAAAAAGAGCTCAGGGACAGCTACCAAGGCCTCAAATTCAAGCCCCAAAACCGACAAAAAAGGGGGGGCAACCCTAGAAGAAAAATCCATGACACTCTTATCTCCAATTAACTACCACAAAGCCAAAAGTGGCACCGTGACTGAAGTGGTAGAATGCCAGCTTTAAGCAAAACAGCTAAGGGGCAGCACACAGGACCTAAGTTCAAACCCAAGTAACCGATCTCTCTCTCTCTGTATCTCTCTCTCTGTATCTCTCTCTCTCTGTATCTCTCTCTCTCTCTTTCACACACACACACACACACACACACACACACACACACACCTTACTGAGCTAAACACTGTTTTATGCTAGTTACAATGAAAGTGAAAATCACGGAAAGCAAGCCTTTCCTGGAATCTCTGAATAGCAAACCAAGTCACATTATTTAGAACTAGTGCTTTAACTTCTCTTAACTGACAAGGGTTGGAATTCAACTAGAGCATTTATAGCAAGTCTGATAAATCATGGGAGCTGTGCCAGAGAGAACTATAAGAAATGAGGATATTGTGAAATGAAGCTGGGGACAAGCTAGATTCTGAGTGTGTCAACTTTACAATAAAACATTTCTTCCCAGACACATCAAGGATTCTATAAGCCAGATGCCGGTGACTCACACCTGTAATTCTAGCTATTCTGGAGATCTGGGGATTGTGGTTCAAAGCCAGCCTAGACAGGAAAGTCTATGACTCTTCAATTAACCAGAAAAAAAGTCAGAAGTAGAGCTGTGGCTCAAATGGTGTTAGCCTTGAAAAAACAAAAAGCTAAGGGACCAGACTCTGAGTTCAAGTAGGACTGAAGAAAAAAAAAGGAAGGAGGAACCTCTAAAACCAGCTCTGACCAACAAATTTAAATTAATACTTAAAATTCAGAAATACATATCAGGTTAAACAGACAAGCAAGATTTCTTTAACAGGTTAATATAAATTCTAAAAAATGAGATACTTAGCCACAGATCCTAGCCTGTGATCCTAGCTACTTAAGATATAAAAAGAACAGTTTGAAACCAGCCCAGGCAGGAAAGTCCATGAGTCTTTTATCTCCAATTAACCAGCAAAAAACTGGAATGGAAATGTGGCTCAAATGAGTAAAGTGCCAGCCTTGAGTGAAAAATCCATGCAAGAATGAGAGGCCCTGAGTTCAAGCTCCAGTCCCCATACAACAGCAAAAAAGAAAGTAAATATAACATTGGATGAAAGTACACTGAAATATGAAAGGCTGAGACAGTAAAGTCTAAATCCCCCAACTCAGAGTGCAAGGGAACATTCCAGATCAACTTCCAAGAGACCAGAACCCAAGACCTGGTGTGAGTAAAAGCTTGACAACCACCCTCCCCCCTCCTTTCTCTCAGTTTTACTTTCCATCTTTTCAGTTATGCTCAGACAAATTAAAAAAAAAAAAAAAAAGGCTGGGCACCAGTGCCTCACACCTGTAATCCTAGCTACTTGGGAAACTGAGGTCTAAGGATCACAGTTCAAAGCCAGCCTGGGCAGGAAATTCCATGAGACTCTTATCTCCAATAAACCACTCAGAAAACCAGAAGTGGTTCTGTGGCTCAA